CCCCTAACCCGAGCCACACAATCCCCCTAATCCACTCAACCCAACCCAAAATCCCCACTATCCCTCAACCCGACAAAATCCCCTATTGCCCCTAACCCGAGCGCAATCCCCCTATTCCCTCTCACCCAAGCCAAATCCCCCTTATTCCCTCCAACCCGAGCCAAATCCCCCTATTCCCCTCAACCCAGAGCAAAATCCCCTATTCCCCTCAACCCAAGCCAAAATCCCCTATTCCCTCAACCCAAGCCAAATCCCCCTATTCCCCCTCACCCAAGCCAAAAATCCCCCTTTCCCCTCACCCAGCCAAAATCCCCCTATTCCCCTGCAAACCGAGCCAAATTCCCCTAACCCTCAAACCCAAGCAAATCCCCCTATTCCCTCAACCCAAGCCAAAATCCCCCCTATTCCTCAACCCAAGCCAAAATCCCCCTATTCCCTCAACCCGCAGCCAAAATCCCCTATTCCCCTCAACCCTCAAGCCAAAATCCCCCTATTCCCCTCAACCCAAGCCAAAATCCCCCTATTTCCCTCAACCCAAGCCAAAATCCCCCTATTCCCCCTCAACCCAAGCCAAAATCCCCCTATTCCCCTCAACCGTCAGCCAAAATCCCCTATTCCCCTCAACCCGAGCAAATCCCCCTATTCCCCTCAACCCAAGCCAAAATCCCTATTCCCCTCAACCCAAGCCAAAATCCCCTATTCCCTCACCCCAAGCCAAAATCCCCCTATTCCCTCAACCCGAGCCAAAATCCTATTTCCTCAACCCGAGCCAAAATCCCCTATTCCCTCAACCCGAGCCAAAATCCCCCTATTCCCCTCAACCCGAGCCAAAATCCCCTATTCCCCTCAACCGAGCCAAAATCCCCCTATTCCCCTCAGAGCCAAATCCCCCTATTCCCCCCTCAACCCAGCCAAAATCCCCCTATCCTCTCAACCAGCCAAAATCCCCTATTCCTCAACCCGAGCCAAAATCCCCTATTCCCTCAACCCGCCAAAATCCCCCTATTCCCCTCAACCCGAGCCAAAATCCCCCTATTCCCCTCAACCAGCCAAATCCCCTATTCCCCTCAACCCGAGCCAAAATCCCTATTCCCCTCAACCCGAGCCAAAAATCCCCCTATTCCCTCAACCCGAGCCAAAATCCCCCTATTCCCCTCAACCCAGCCAAAATCCCCCTATTCCCCTCAACCCGAGCCAAAATCCCCTATTCCCCTCAACCCAAGCCAAAATCCCCCTATTCCCTCAACCCAGCCAAAATCCCCCTATTCCCTCAACCCGAGCCAAATCCCCTATTCCCTCAACCCGAGCCAAAAATCCCCTATTTCCCCTCAACCGAGCCAAAATCCCCCTATTCCCTCAACCCGAGCCAAAATCCCCTATTCCCTCAACCCAAAGCCAAAATCCCCCTATTCCCTCAACCCGAGCCAAAATCCCCCTATTCCCCTCAACCCAAGCCAAAATCCCCTATTCCCTCCAAACCAGCCAAAATCCCCCTATTCCCCTCAACCCAAGCCAAAATCCCCCTATTCCCCTCAACCCGAGCCAAAATCCCCCTATTCCCTTCAACCCAAGCCAAAATCCCCCCTATCCCTCAACCCGAGCCAAAATCCCCCTATTCCCCTCAACCCAAGCCAAATCCCCATTCCCCTCAACCGAGCCAAATCCCCTATTCCCTCAACCCAAGCCAAAATCCCCCCTATTCCCCTCAACCCGAGCCAAAAATCCCCCCTATTCCCTCAACCCAGCCAAAATCCCCTATTCCCCTCAACCCGAGCCAAAATCCCCCTATTCCCCTCACCCGAGCCAAAATCCCCCTATTCCCCTCAACCCAAGCTAAAATCCCCCTATTCCCTAACCGAGCCAAAATCCCCTATTATCCCTCAAAAGCCAAAATCCCCCCTATTCCCCTCAACCCAAGCCAAAATCCCCCTATTCCCTTCAACCCGAGCCAAAATCCCCCTATTCCCCTCAACCCCTCAAACCCAAAGCCCAAATCCCCTATTCCCCTCAACCCAAGAAAATCCCCTAAACCCGAGCCAAAATCCCCCTATTCCCCCAACCCGAGCCAAAATCCCTATTCCCTCAACGCGAGCCAAAACGCTATTCCCCTCAACCCGAGCAGTCCCCTATTCCCTTCAACCCAATCCCCCGAAAAACCCCCTAGCCCCTCAAGAAAAATCCCCCCTATTCCCTCAACCCAGCCAAAATCCCCCTGGCCTCGCAGCCCCGCAAACCAAGCTGAAAGATCCCGCTTCGCCTCCAGCCCCCGTGCCCGACGCCGCCCAGCCAGGAAAGATGTGGTGCCTCGCCCTTCCCTTGCTCTTCGGCGCCGCGCGGGCAAGGGACGCAGCCGCCAGCCCCGACCTGCACGTTGCTCTGTCGTCTCTGGAGGCCCAAGCCCACCCGCCACTACGCACGTCTCGGCCGGACGGCGTTTCACCGTGTTCTGGGACGCCCGGGAGTCAGGTTAGGGCGGGAATCTGTTCGTTTTTATGTCTGTTTGTGATGTGTATAATTGTATCCATGTGTATTTGTCCATAAGTTGTGGTCGTTACTTGATTAATGACTTTTTTTTTCTTTATATAAAAAATTGTATTTATGATGAATGCATGTACATACATGCATGCATACATACATATATATGTGTGTGTTTATATATATAATATATATATATATATATATATATATATTATAATATATATATATAATATATATATATATATATACACACATATATATGTATGTATGTATGTACATGTATGTATATATACATATAGACAGATAGACAGATAAACAGATAGGATAGATATAGCTACACACACACACACACACACACACACACACACACACACACACACACACACACACACACACACACACACACACACACACACACACACACACACACACACACACACACACACACACACACACATACATTACACATACATACATAATATATATAATATATATATATATAATATATATATATTATATATATATATATATATATATATATATACATATACGTATTGCATCTTATTTTTTATAAAGTAGATATATGAACATATATTTTTGTTTTCCTTTTTTGTCCAAGGAATACGATTTTTTATAATGTATATATAAGTAAATTTGTCTGAAGGACACAATTTATAATGTCTTTGCATGACCACATGTCCAAAGCATACAATTTTCTTCTTTTTTTTCTTCTTTTTATAGCTTATTTACAATGTAATGTAACAATTTGATATCCTAAGAATACGATATATTTTTTCATCTGAAAGTACATTAATATTGCATACATTTCACACACTAACCAGTGGGACAGCAGTCTGCAACCTGCAACTCATGCAAGAGATTTTGCAACCTACTTAAAATCACCTGATTGTCGTGAAAATGATAATGATAATGTGAAAAAGCACTAGAGTAGGTCGAGGCACCAAAATAGGGAGTCTGACCCTGGTTCTCGCTTTCTTGGAAATAACAAAATGAATTCTTGTGGTTATTGGTATTCCCATATTGTTTTTTCTTTTTTTCTTTCTCTTTTTTTGTGTTGTTTCATAATTGTTAGGAGCAGTTGTAATCTTCCTCGTTATCGTTATTATTTTCATTATCGTTATCGTCGTCACCATCGTCATCATAAGTATTATCGTCAATATTATCCTTATTACTAGTAGTATCTTTATCATTATCATCATAAGAATTATCACCAGTATTATCATTTTACTAGTTTTGTGGTCAATAACAAATCATCATCATTATCACTCTCATCATCATCGTCATCGTCATCGTCATCATCATTACCAAAACGCACTTAATCCTCTTGATTACGAGTGCATCCAAGACTCATACTGCAGTATTATGCAGAAAAAATCCGGTCTTCATTTTACACTGTGACTCAGCTGCCTGAAGTTCAATACAAACTTCTTTTAGAAATCTAGGTTACAGAGCTTTGGTATGTGTGAGACGAATTTCAAGAATTGTATACTCTTGATTATATATGCATGTGAAGAGAGAGAGAGAGAGAGAGAGAGAGAGAGAGAGAGAGAGAGAGAGAGAGAGAGAGAGAGAGAGAGGAGGAGAGAGAGAGTAAGGGAGAAGAGGAGAGATGGGAGAAGGAAATAGATAGAGAAAGGGAGAGAGAAGTGAGAGGAACATAGGTAGGAAAGGCGAGAAGTGGGGCAGAGAGGAAGGGGAGAGAGAGGGGGGGGACAGGGAGAGACGGAGTAAGGACGGAAGGGAAAGTTAGAGAGAGAGAGAGAGAGAGAGAGAGAGAGAGAGAGAGAGAGAGAGAGAGAGAGAGAGAGAGAGAGAGAGAGAGAGAGAGAGAGAGAGAGAGATCGGTAGACAGACAGAGAGAAAGAGAGAGGGAGAGAGAGAGTCTGACAGACAGACAAACAGACAAAGTAACATACTAGTAGATAGATATATAGAAAGATTGACAAGAATAAAACAAAAATAAAACTAGATTGATAAACAGATACTGATATAGTTAATGAGTATATGAACCCACGAATGCCAATAGGAACTACCTATTCTGTGCAGCGAACGGGCCTGTTGCTGTTAGTGTTGTTGTCGTCTTTGTTGTTATTGTGCGACGGAGAGTGAGCGCGCGCGCGTGCTTGTGTTAACCTTTGCTTTCGGCGCGAGTCTGTGCTGTCGTTGGGTCGCCCTGGGAGAAGAGGGTTGTGAATTGAACACGCCTCCTGCTTTTCCTGCTGCTTTTCCTCCTCATCCTTCTCCTTCTCCTCATCCTTCTCTTCTTCTTCTTCTCCCTCTTTCTCCTTTTCCTCCGCCCCCTCCTCCTCCTCCTCTTTCTCCTTTTCTCGGCCCCCTCTACTCCTCTTCCTCCTTCCATCTCCTCCTACCTCCTACTCCTCTCCTCCTCCCCTCCTCCCCTCCTCCTCCTCCTCTCCTCCTCCTCCTCCTCCTCCTCCTCCTTCCTCCTCCTCCTCTCCTCCTCTTCCTCGTCTTTTTTCTCCATTCCTCCTTCTCCTCCCCATCCTCCCACTCCACCACCATCACCACCACCACCATCTGCTCCTCCTCTTCTTCTTCTTCCAACCCCTCCTCCTCCTTTTTCTTTCTCCTCCTGCCATTTTCTCTCCTCCTGCTCCTCTTCATCGCACTTTCTCACACTCTTCCAACCCCCCCTTCTCCTCCTCTTCCTCCTCACCCCCACTCCTAACACCCCACCTCCAACCCTACCCTACCCTCACCCCACCCTACAAGGCCACAGCCATTCAATTCTTGGCACGTTATATCAGAGAACAATAGCCAGGATTTACAGACGTAGAAACAGACTCCAGTGACGATATTCGTACAAAAAATGGAGGAAATGCACGCCTACAAACACATGTGTGGAATAAAAACAAATGAAATAGATAAATATATAGATAAACGAACTGATTAATAGATTAGGTGGATGGAGTGTTTCCTCTTTGTTCTAGATCCCTACAGTATGTTGCGTTATTTTTTATGTTTTTTTTTTCTATTTCTCTCTCCCCCCCCCCCCCTCTCTCTCTCTCTCTCTCTCTCTCTCTCTCTCTCTCTCTCTCTCTCTCTCTCTCTCTCTCTCTCTCTCTCTCTCTCTCTCTCTCTCTCTCTCTCTCTCTCTTCTCTCTTTTTCTCTCTTTCTCTCTTTCTCTCTCTTTCTCTATCTCTTTCTCTCTCTCCCTCTTATTTTCTGCACAACAAAATCATCTGAAAATCAAGGTGAGTATGAAATAATCTAAGAAATGGAAGAAGAAAAAAGTTAGAAATCAAGGAAATCCTAACACGAGATTGCCTGCATCTTGTTCTGTTCCGTCTCGACAGTTCAAGGGCTGTTGTTAGGAAATCACTGTGTGAAATAATTATAGAGGTGTCAGTCAGATTTGAAGGGCAGTCTCTCTCTCTCTCTCTCTGACTATTTGTCTGTCTGTCTGTCTGTCTCTGTCTCTCTCTCTCTCTCTCTCTCTCTCTCTCTCTCTCTCTCTCTCTCTCTCTCTCTCTCTCTCTCTCTCTCTCTCTCTCTCTCTCTCTCTCTGACTATTCTGTCTGTCTGTCTCTTCTCTCTCTCTCTCTCTCTCTCTCTCTCTCTCTCTCTCTCTCTCTCTCTCTCTCTCTCTCTCTCTCTCTCTCCCTCTCTCTCTCTCTCTCTCTCTCTCGTCTGACTGTCTCTCTCTCTCTCTCTCTATCCATCCCCCTACCCTTCTCCCTTTTTCTATTTCTTTCTCTTTTTCACTTACAATAGCATACAAAACACATGCAAACGCTTTCAGGCATACAAAAAAACATGCAAAAGTTTTAGGCTTGCAAAAACCCATCCAAAATTCTTCAGACATAAAAATACTAATACAAAGGTCTTTAGGCAAACAGACCCATATATAGGCCTGCCGCTAAACGAAAACCCATACAAATGTCTTTCTGTGAGGCTGTGCCAATTAGCACCAGCTTCTTTAAGAGAAAAGATAAGCTTAGGCAGAAGAAGAGGCGAGAAGAGGTATCCTTTCTCTCCCGCAGGAAGTAGTGTGGGAGATCCACGCCCGCACCCTCGGCTGGATCGGCTTCGGATTCTCCAGCAATGGGCGGATGGCAGGGGCGGACATTGTGACGGCGTGGGTGGCAGATGGACGTCTCTTCCTGCAAGACCGCCATGGTGTGGGCGAGACGACACCCCCCCTGGACCAGAAGGGGGACTGGCGCCCACTCCACGCCCGTGAAAACGCCACCCACACTGTACTAGTGGTGGCGCGCGCCATTAACACGTGTGACGGTCAGGACTTCGTTCTCACGGTTAGTGTCTTCATCGTCTTGTTTTCTTATCCATAAAGTATTGTTTCTCCCATGAATAGTCAGCGGATAATTCAGATATATTTACCTTCTTTTTAAATTTCTAATGTATTGTTCCTTCAGAGCATAACTTATAAACAATTCAGCGCCCACCCTGAATGACGAATGGAGACCTTCCTATTTTTTTCTAAATTCGAACGTATTGTTCCTGCATTAACCGACAGGTGATTCGCCAACCCAGTAAGTACAACCGTCTCTCCGTTAACATTTATCCTTACAGAACGAGACAGTGCGGCTGATCTACGCCTGGGGAGACACGGATCCAACTGGGGACACCCCAGGCTACCACGGAATGCGCCGAGGAAACAGGTAACTGTGCTCGGAAACCCTTGTCTCGGGGATACGAACCGGAAATGCCATGTTGACGAAGATAATGGTCTGTCGAAATGCCGTGGGCGCTTTCAGGCGCAACATGTGTGGGATTCTAATTGTACTCGGGTCACGGCCAAGATTACAGTAATTGCGGGATCACCAGAGTGGGATGTGTGCTACTGGCATTTTGTAAGATCCCTGCATACATTTAGAGAACATGGATAAACTCTGTAAAACACATTTTTACACGCATGCGCGCGCCAGGGCTAGAATTCTACTGAAATTTGTCTGCTAAACGTACACAGAAGACGATCGACGGATCGTAAAGTCCTGATGGATGTATTTTTGTTTTTTTGTATGACTACAGATGGTTTGATGCAAATGGAAAGTGTTTGCGATATGTTCAAATAAATCAAACATGAAAACTGCTGAAACCATCCTGGTAAGAACTGATATGATGTCGCAGACCGAACTACATCGCGGCGGAAATTTCACCCGATGTCACTTCAGCTGGTCCTCTAGCTGGGCTTCACCAAAGGCAGAGCCAAAGTCCCACAGAGGGAATTTAAACCCTCAGCCCGGCAACACACTATGAATAGTCCTATCCTTTTTAGACGCATCAAGTTTACAGGTTCAATGTCGCATTTTCTTAAGTTATACATAAAATACAATTTCTATAAAGACATGCGGGTGCATTTTATGTTGAATGTTGTTATACTATTGACTCAATAATGTATTTATTGTATATTGTTTTAGGCAGTGCAATAAACAAGAAAGTAAAGCAGGGAATCCTATAATCACCAGACTCTAACCCTACGCACTTTACTTATAACCAAATATTCATCCGTTTATGATAGTGTATGGTTCAAGTTTATTATTTATATCCGTCTTCTTTATCACCTAATTTTTAGAAAACGGGAGAAATGTCGTTACGGAAAAGCAGACAGCCCTGGACGCGTGCGCACACACACACACACACGCGTGCGCGCGCTGTTTGAAACCCGTCGAACCATGAAACTTGATATAAAAAGGCTTCACTGAACAGGAACCTCCAAACTCTTCATGCTCTACCCATAACAAACCCACTGATTATTCTCAATCAAAAACTACCCGTAATCTCCCCCCCCCCCCGCCACCTTGCCTCCCACCCCCTATCCTTCGACAACACCCAATCATTCTCTCCTCTCCCGCGCTCTCTTCTCATGCTCTTCCCTCTCGCAGATTCGCTCTCGTCCTTCTCCCGTTTCACCGGCCGGTTCGAACCCCGGGAACCGAATCCTCGAGCGTCCAAACATGGCAGGTTAGACAGGAGGTCACGCTTCCCCCTGGCCGCCATACCTTCTACTGGTGCCACATGGAGAAGGTGCCAGCGTGGGAGACCAAACATCAGTACATAGGGGTAATGTAGGCCTATTTCGGAAGGACTATAGGCCTAGATGTTGTTTTGTTTTGTTTTTGGTCGTCATTGTTTCAAATGCGTGACGTCACGGTGTCATAGCAACGGCGGATTGACTACGTAAAATTGTCGTAATGTGGTACTAGAATATTCGGTGTAAACTCGTTTATAATATATATATATATATATATATATATATATATATATATATATATATATATATATATATATTAATATACACGCTTTCTGACTTAACAATATGATACGGTGGGGAAAAGTGCTGTGAACTCGACCAGTTATTGATATCCTTGCTCCCTGGGGCGTCAGTTGGGGGGAGCTGTTTGCCCCTCTCAAGGTTTGGCTTCACCTCCCCCCCCCCCCCAACACACACACTCAAGGCCCAAAATTTTTAACTTTTTTAACGTTTTCCTAAATAACTCCTATGTAGATCCGATTATTATTCTAAATGTTCGTTTTACTCGTCTCCCCACTCTTGCCCCCACCCCAAGGAAAAGCTGAAATGACGCCCCTGCTGCTCAGATATGTATGATCGAAGTAACCTATATCTTACATACAGACAAACTGAAGAGGTGATATTAAAGGTGTCGAATACTTTAATACTATTAATGTTTCGTGTCACCGGCACCAGCGTGGCGAATGTGACAAGTCTACGGGGTGTGGATGCCACTTCGCCGCCGATAACTGGCGTCCCTCTGCATCGACGATGTGTCGATTGTGGGTACGACCTTGGAGGAGGTCTCTGCCCATGGATGCCCGGACAGTCTTAGTAGGACTGAGACACGGCACTCTGGGTGGATGTGGCACAGCGTAATCTCGGGGTGTTGCCGAAATCCCGCTTACACGAAACCTCGTGTGGATAGGGCTGTTATCCTGGACGATGTAAAATGGCTCGCACGGAGAAAGCCATGGCCTTCACACATGGTAGAAACGCATTACCCCGGATGTCCACGTAGGCAGACCCCGTAAACATGCCAGGCCCGACATCCGTCAACTCAGCGGTTTCCGACAGTCTGCGTGCTGCAGCGTAATGCCGAGGCCCGCCGGATGTTGCCAGCATAACAAAATGGGTTTGCATCCCATGCAATAGTTATGGATTGTTTTAAAAATGATAATAATGAAAATATTATCGGTATGGGGACGCGGCAACTAACTATCGGTCACGCCCCCTTCTCAAACCCAGTCAGCTGTGAGGGAGGTTTCCACGGACTATCAAATGGTTTTCATTAGCTCGTGACTTTCAAGCATATCAGTGCAAGCTTTCTATTTGTCTTTCATATAGCGCGTTGATTTCTAGTTCTGAATGATATTTACTAAATCTCCCTCCATCGCGCATCCTGGGCGCCCACTACTGGCCTTGTCTCTCTGGTTGATGCAGTTGCTTGGTGTCGCTGGATCCACAGAGACACGGTTGACTTCGAAATACCTAATCTTGATATTTCGGCTCTTGATAATCCCTCAGAGTAAAGCATAATTAGGGTGCCACGAATGGTCTCTGAGGTTTCTATAGCTGACATTGCCATGATGCGAGGCCCTAGCCTTATCACCTCCGAAACGCTACTCGAACGTTTTGAAGCTTCATCTGTTCCGAGCATTGAAAAGAACCAACTCTAGCGATCGTTTCGGTTTCATCTACTCCCGAGGAAAGGCATTTTTGGTGTGTTCAAATAAAAGCAAATGTTAGAAATCCTTTAATATTCGTTATTTTTAGTCATTTACTTCAGGTATTTAGAAGGTATTGATATTATAGCGTAAAATAGCTGTAGAGAAGTTGAGAAACGAAGTAGTGTTTTGCGCCAAGCTATCGTCTCTTCTTAATAAATAAATGCTTATACCTCCAAGTCAAAAAAGATTCTTCTTTTGAAGAAGAGTAATGCAGGCAATAATATGCCCCATGCTGCCATCATAGGAATGTACTGTAGGCTTCTTAACATGTACCATCTCAAGTTATATGCCTAAACATATAGAGGCCATGACGTCGCCGGAAGCTAGATCCAACCCTCTTCATGACAAATATCACAATCTTGATGGTATTCAAGTCTGTGTCAATAACACTGATCGAGTTAGTCCTGTTTGTGAATAACTTAAGATAATGAGGCTTGGTCTAGGTCACTGTTGGCTCTGTCTCTCATACCTGAATCAACTTCAGTGAACATTATTCTTGACATACGAAGTCAGCACACGCTCTGTACCAATCGATGTCAAGCAAGGAGATGAGTGAAGAAAAAGCAGGTCACATGTTGAATACAATGCGATTTTTTAAATTAGTATTACCGTCATTATCATAATCATCATCTCCATCTTTGAGCCAAACCGCCGTCGCTATGACAACATGACATCAAACTACCACTTTATCTATATTTATTTTCTTATTTTAGGAAGATCACTGATTCATCGTATTTTGAAACAAGAGAAATGTTGTAATTGATGTGTTAAAAAAAACGTCTATATTCCATGTCATGACGTAAAAAGACTTACCTTTATATTTTCCGAAAATAAAGTAGTGGAAGCAGGGCGCCATTGGAAATTTCTTGGGGGGGGGGGTAATGATCTAAGCCCCCCCCCCACACACACACATACACATACTTTACCAACTTCCCCATCTTTTCGATAAAGGTTCATTTGCTAGAGACCTTGTTCTCTTCTGCCTCTTCTCTTCTCCTTTGCTTCTTCTCTGTTTCTTGTTCCCCTTTGCCTCTCCCCGTCCATCCGTTTATCCACCCGTCCGCCCACCCACTCTTCCCTCTACCACCCACCCCCACCTCCATCCATCCACCCTTCCACCCTATCCTTCCCCCTCCCTTCCTCCCATCCACCTTCTACCATCCATCCACCCTCCCATCCACCCTTCTATCCACATCCACCCTCCTCCTCCCTCCATCCCCCATCCACCCTCCCCTTCATCCATCCCCCTCCCCATCTATCCCACCCTTCCATCCATCCACCACCTGACCACCCTTTCTCCCATCCACCCCTCCTCCATCCACCCTCCCTCCATCCATCCATCCACCTACCCACCTCTCCTCCATTCATCTACCCACCCTCCACCCTTTCTCCCATCCACCCTCCCTCAATCCACCCCACCCCTCCATCCATCCACCCCCCTCCCTCCATCCTCCATCCATCCATCCATGCATCCATCCATACACCCTCCCCTCCTCCATCCACCCCTTCCCTCCCTCCATCCATCCACCTACCCACCCCTCCTTCATCCACCTCTCCCTCCATCCATCATCCACCCATCCATCCACCCTACCCACCCCTCTTTCCATCCACCCTCCCTCCCTCCATCCATTCCACCTATCCACCCACCCCTCCTTCCATCCACCCCCTCCCGTCCCTCACCTCCATCCCTCCATACCCACGCCACTCCTTCCAATCCACCCTCCTATCCACACCATCCATCCTACCCACCCACCTCCCTTCCATCCACCCCCCTCCTCCCTCCATCCACCTGACCCACCCCTCCTCATCCATCCATCCACCTCTCCCTCCCCTCCCTCCATCCACCTAAGCCCACCCCTCCTTCCCATCCATCATCCTCCCTCCCTCCCTCCATACTCATCCTTCCATCCACCATCCATCCCCTCCTCCCATCCTCCATTCCACCTACCCACCCCTCCTTCCATCCACCCCTCCCTACCTTCCATCCCATCCCTCCATCCAATATCCATCCACCTACCACCCTCCTTCCATCCACACCCCTCCCTCCCTCCATCCATCCACCTACCCACCCTCCCTCCTTCCATCCACCCCATCCCTCATCCACATCCATCCATCCACCTACCCACCCTCCTTCCATCCACCCCTCCACCTACCCTCCATCCACTCCCTCCCTCCATCCACCTACCCACCCTCCTTCCCCACCCCTCCTCCATTCACCCCATCCTCACCCTCCCTCCCTCCATCCATCCATCCACCTCCCCATCCCTCCTTCCAT